TTAAAATGAATTATTTTAATAATTTAACTGCTGTTTTGATATTTTTAAAACACATTCTTAGTTGATTTTCACACTTTAACATTTTTAGAAATTTTACACGGTTACTTTGTGTTCAAACTTATTTTCAGCCAAGGAGTTATTTTATCTATTTAATTCCATTTTCACAATTTTTAAAATGTGTTTTCTATAAGCCTTCTTTAAGGACAGTAGGGATAAAGGAATGGATAATTTGTAATTGTTATTTCTGAAAATATTTAATTTTAAAACTATTTTAATATTGGAATGTGAAATAAAGAGCTGAGAAATATTTGTTTGGATCACATACCTCTTGAGAATTTGAAAAAGGCCATAGTCCACTGTTGTACTTAGGCAATGATGGAAATGTTCTATATTTGTACTATCCAATATAAAAAACACATGGCTATCAATCACTTGAAATGTGGCTGGTGTGACTGAGAAATTTTAATTTTATTTAATCGAAATTAACTTAAAGTCACATATTGCTAGTGGCTACCATATTGAAAGCATGTGCATAGTCTTCCCAGAAAAAATACAAGATTTTGCCTCAAATTCCAGGTTAAAAAACAAAAATCAAAGCCTATTTCTTGGTACTTTTACTACTGCACCTAAGAGCTATCATTTTTTATGACTTAATGTGTCCTAGGCATTACTCTAAATCCTACATCTGTGTTAATTAACCCTCACAACTCTTATAGAAAAGGAACTGAGGCACACAGAGATGACCTAACTTGCTCAAGATTTTATAACAGTGATTTGAACGCCGGTTGTCTGACTTCCAAGTTCATACTATTAAACATAATGTTAACTACATTTCTTAACATTTTTTGTAATGGTTTGTAAAGACTGTTAGCAAAGTCCTAAAGGTAGTTTGCCTTTGACTCATTCAAATTATGCAAGGGTAATTTTTTAAATTCGTAAAAATGCTGATAAAGTCACAAAGCCAGAATTATCTCAAATTTTATAAAATGTTAAAAGTGAATAGGATAAAACTGTATCCATATCTAGATATATGCTTGGCTGCACAACTGCCCCATGACACATGCTAATTAGAAACATTCAAGGGTTTCGGAGAAAAATAAAAATGAGTAATTGCTCATAAAAGCTGCTCACTAGTGAACAATTTTCAATATGTGGAAAATTCATAACTGCAGGTCTTCATTTCTTATCATATGGCTGTTCTGAGTGATTTATTGCTTCAAATAATTCATCTTCAATTAATCCTGACTTGCAGATCAGGGTACCCAGGAAATGCTACCAGCTTATCTTTAAGCTGCACACATGAAACTGTAAATTTAGTATTTCAGTCACCTAAGTGAAGGATTTAATCATAAAACAGTTGGAGGTGACTCAGGGGACTATGCCCCTGAAGCAAAACACCATTCTCTGGCTGGTAATCTGGATCTGGAGGTGCTAGGTACCAACTAGTTGACTCATTTAGAGTCAAGCCCCCATGGGAAGCAGTGAAAGGTAATGCTGGCAGTATCCGTGGAGAGAACACGATTGACAGGACTCCAAATACATCCTTGAAGGGAGCTACACGTAAGGTATACCCTGTCTTCTCCATTTAAGGTCCAAAACTCTAGGCAGGATTTCCCAAAACTTTTCAATGAACTTTGGGGAACAAGATGTGTGATCATAAGGTGATGAAGTCTTTCCTGTCTTCTGCTGATTTGAGAGCTAGGCTACCACCATATTCACTCTTGTTCCTTGAGCCGATGTAAGTGGGTCAGAACACATCAAGTGGCTGTTGGAATCTTCAAAGCCACTTCAAAGAGAACATGGTCTCAGTGCGCTGTTCCCTTCAACAGGATATGACAAACTCAGTGTGACTACTGTTTATAAGGGCTCTCTTGAGTAGGGTCCTAGTAGCTAGGTTGGACCAGGCTGTGTTGTTACATGAGAGGCTTAGTGCATTGCCAACTTTCTGAGAAGAAACTTTATGAAAGAGATAGAAGATGAGGTGAAAGGATAGATATAATCAGAAACAAGGATAGATATAATCAAGGACAGATATAATCAGAAACAGGTCAGAAAGCAGATTTCAAATTGTAGTTAGATGAGAGGGTTCAAGTGTAGGTCATTTGCAAAGCGGGGGTCTCAGAGGCTTTCTTGTATTAGGTATAGATCAGGAGGTCTGGGAGTTAACTAGTTGGGATGGAGCTCTATTTAACCATCTGGTTCAGTCCACTAAGCATGAAGATTCTCAGTTAGAAAAGTAAATAAGACATACTAAAACAAAACAAAGCAAAAATATACAACTCATCTTTCTGATGTTTCAAATATTTATTTTAGGTAGTAAAGGCTTTTATTGTTCTGAACCCTGATTACAAGTCACATGAGCAAGAACAACTGAAAAAGGAGATTCAGGAGCATGTAAAAAAAACTACAGCACCTTACAAATATCCCAGAAAGGTAGGCATCCTAATTATGATAAATATCCATTCAGCGTTCTGAAAAAACTTCAGGTGTTTTTTTCCTTTTCACTGAACGTTTTCCTCAAACCTGCTACACAAAATGTTCCAAATGGAACTAATGACATATAGATAAGAATTAGAATTGTTGAGATTACAGTAACAGTCTAATTTATTTGGTCATTTGGCTCACTGGACTTGTAGTAAATACTAAATACCAAGAAAAACCAGCTGGGCACAGTGAGGCCCATCTGTAATCCCTGCATTCTGGGAGGCTGAGGCTGGAGGATCACAAGTTTGAGCCTAGCCTGGGCAACTTAGTAAGATCTTGTCTCAAAATGAAAAATATAAAAAGGGATGGGGATATAGTTCAGTCCAAAGGCCTTGGATTCAACCCCAAGTACCACAAACAAACAAAAAAATAACAAAAAAGAAAAAGAAAAATTTCAATAACACCCCTTTGTTTATCTTTTTACCAAAAACCAACCCCAATGGGTGCCCTTTCTTTCACCTAGAATTCATAATAAAACTATTAAATAATTGCTTTTATCTAAAGATAAAAACTTCTGGGCTAAATTTCTTCCTCTCGATACCAACAGGTAGAATTTATTGAAGAGCTACCAAAGACTGTCAGTGGGAAGATAAAAAGAAATGAGCTGAGGAAAAAAGAATGGAAAACAACTTAAATTCATTCCATTAATCATCATAGTATCTATAAAACAAACATGGTATTTACAAATCTATAGAATCCATAAGATTATGAAGAGGCGATAAAAAGGTTATGGCGGTATGCTTACAAACTGTTGAATGAAGACACTTTATGGTTACAAAATCAGAGGCTGAATTTTGAAATAAAATATCCAGTAAATTACTCTGCATTCAGTAAATGTTCCTGTAAGTAGGTAACATAAAAGAAAATGTCATCAACTGCTGAGGAATTCTTGAATGTACAGCACAGAAGCAGTTTCTGAACAAAATCTCTACTCCATTGGTTTTCAAACCTTCGTTGAATAATTTCGATACATTGATATATAAATTAGAACCAACCTTCAAGACTTAAAACTAAACAAGTTGTAAGTATTTATTTTTTGGTTATGTTGAGATGAGGTCTTGCTATGTATTTCAGGCTGGCCTTGAACTTACCACATAGCCCAGGCTGGCTTCAAACTCATGGCAATGGAGCCTCCCAAGGGCTGGCATTAACAGGTGTGCTCTACCACACATAGCTAGTTTTAGGAAAATAAAAATATCAGATTATCATAATTCTCAAAGTACCTAAGTGAAAATAAGACTAGGGATTTTTTTTTTTGATACAGGGGTCTCACATTATGGTTCAGGTTGACCTTGAACTCCCTATGTAGCCAGGCTGGCTTTGAGCTCATGGTGATCCTTCTGCCTCAGCCTCCCAAGTGCTGGGATTACAGTTGTATGCCACCACACCTGGCCTAGACTAGGAATTTTTATTAGCCACACTTCTATTCAAACATTTTAAAGATAGTTTAAAATTTGTTTCAAGGTCTAACTGTAAAAGACAGATATCATACACTATTGTTCCTTATTGTATTTAACCTAATAGAGTTTACAAAATATTTTATTTGTGGTTTTTCAAGAAAGTATGATAGGCTAGGGATGTAGTTCAGTGTTAGAGCACTTGCTTAGCATGTGTGAGGCTCTAGGTTCCATCCCTAGCACTGAAAAGAGAGTGACAGTGAGGGGGAGAGAGGGAGGGAGAGAGAGAGGGAGAGAGAGAGAATATGAATGATAAATAAGTTCATACTAATATATGAAATATAAATAAAACTGTAAGATATTACTACAATATTAATGTTTGGGAATTTAAGGAGCAGTTAGTATTTATACACGAACAAACACAACACGAATGTTAGACAACTGGTGAATGAAAGTAAAATGATATGAAATTTATTTTTTCTCAATTTGTGTGTGTGCGTATGTGTGTGTAACTGCTCCAATGTAGTCTACAGAGCTCAGATAAGTCTCCATAACTTCAGCCCCAGAGTATTTTTGTAAAAAAAATCTTCCCTGTACTAAAAGTTATACTGAAGCCAGGCATGAATGCACAAGCCTGTAATCCCAGCACTCTGGGGGGGTTGAGGTAGGAGGATCACAAGTTCAAATACAACCTGTAAAACTCAGTGACTTCAAGAGACCCTGACTCAAAAAAGGAGGAGAGGCTGGGGATTTAACTCATTGTGAAGGCCCTGGGTTCAATCCCCAGGACTGAAAATAAAAAAAAGTTGCACTGAAAATAAAAACATACTTTAGAGTAAAGAAAGTTTATCAATTCCTCATGGAAGGTCTGAGTCTCAGAGAATTTTTAGTCAAAAAACTTAAAGTTTTGGCATGAGTATGGCTTGTTTTTGGAGAACTAAAAGTGAGTCCCCCTGTGGAGTGAGAAAGAACTATGGTATTGGTTCTTTCCTTTTGAAGTGTTTGTTCCCATTTAAAATAATCACAACGTTTTCTGTTTTCTTGGTATTTCCCAATAGGACAACAATAGAAGACTTTCCCATGGTTTGGTCCATTATTAGAAACAACAAGTCTCTTAGATCTTCGGCCACACTTGCATAAGGGAGGTGTCATTTTCCCACTCTTCCAAGGCTCCTGTAGATTAACTGTAGATGTTAATATAGAGGGGAGAACTTTCAGGGAAGAACTTCTTACTGGAGAGCAATCAAGTGATATAGGCTTTTCTTCATGAATAATGAAGGCCTGTTTTTTTGCTGGTGGGAAAGCTGGAAGATTAGATGAATTCCTTTTAGTGCCACCTAAAAGAGGATGTTTCACCAAAACTGAATGATGAGATGCACTGGCATTAGCACTGCTGAGGGTAAATGATTTGCATTGAGGTAATTTAAAAGCAGAAGCATCTGAACCTGGATGTTTGGCTTCTTTTACATTATAAACAGTAGTGTGAGGACTCTTGTACACAAAAGACTGAGGAGTCTCAAATTTTTGAGGAGTTTCCTTGATGCCCTCAAGTTTTTCAGGACTTAGGGCTTTTGATTCTTTTAAAACCATTAACCTTTCTCCAGAATTAAATGAAGTATCTAAGTTTGTGTCACTTACAGGAGGTATACAATCTATATTTTCCTCAGGCTGAGATGCTGGCAGTAAAACTACATCTTCCCAATCAGCCAACATAGGGAAGCAGTCAACCGTAGAACTCATTTCCGTATCAGAGACATGATTAACAGATGGGATGGTGGTAGAAACAAGTACCAATGCTGAACCATGAGTAGAAGACTTAGATTTGGTTTTAAAAGCAAGATGTTCACTTTTTCTTTGCTTCTGCACATAGATAGGTGAATTCAAGCTGTGAGACTGAAACTGTCCCTGAGAAGTAGAGGGCTTAGTATTAAAAATAGATGAGCAACTTTTCATACTGTGAAGACTGGCTTTTATATTGTTCTCTGGTAGTAAGTGATGCTGCTGTACCTTTATGGGGGAATTCATACAAACAGAATTCCTTTGAATTTTTTCCTGAGCATTTACTGAATTTTTAGACTCCCTATCATATATTCTGGGATTCTGGATGCTAAAGTTGCAGGTGGATGTTTCTCCAACTTGATTTGTATTCAAATTTCTGGCCAAAAGGCTGGGATTCTTCTTGGGAACCTACATTTCACAGAAGATCCAACATCTTTAGAAACTATGCATTTATAACTTCTTCAGTAGACATGAGCAAAAAATGTCATTGGTTTTTAAGTGATCACATACATGAAATCCACATTTCAATGAACCCACGAATACTTGAGTTTGAGATGAAAGAATAAAAAGGCAAGACACCACTAACCTGTTTCAAACACCTTGTAATTTTCATTAGGCAACCATCCCTGATCATTTTCCAGGCAAGAAGAGCAGTATTCCGAGAATCATCCAACCCTGGGGAAACAGATATCAAATGCTGGATTAAGTGGTACCAGTGTAAAGAAATAATAGCAAAAAAAAAAAAAAAATACCACTGAAGGAAAAGAGACATAGTGTGAGTTTAATGATTATCTACTGTTTTGTTTGTTTTTTGAGACAAGGTCTCTGACTTGAACTTACTATGTAGCTCAGGCTAACTTTAAACTCATAGAGATCCTCCTGCCTCAGTCTCCTGAGTACTGACATTACAGGTGTGTGCCACCACACCCAGCTTAATTATCTACTAATTTTAACAATAATAAATTGGGAAAGCTGTGGGAACATTACCAATTAAAGACAAAATCTACCATATTTACAGAGAACAATGTGAAAATCGGTTATACACTTTCCAAAAATGTGACCTGCAATCTGTAGGGACCAGAATTTTTGAATAACCAAATATTCTTGTTCAGTCTTTTTTACTAGTCCATTGTATTATTTGGGCACTTGTTTAATCTCAATCTGATTTGGCTACATAATTCTTTTCGTTCTTTTTAGCAACTAGAAATCCACTAGATGGCAGTCTTTATCTTAAATAGTTCACGAAATTGGTAATTCAAAAATTGGAAACAATTTGAATTGGAGACTAGGATCTTTTCTTTTTAGGCTGAAGGATATTCCTTATTAATGGCATTACCAAGAAATGGGACTCATGTGAAAGATTTTATAAATTTCAACTGCCTTATGTGATAAAATGATTTTTAATTTATACAAACCAGAATGTTCTCGTCCTGAGAATTCTATTCCCACTTCCTGCAAGGCACCACTTAGTCCTTTTGGTTTTCTTCTATAGAAAAGCTAATGAAATAAAGAAAGATATATCTAAAAATATGATTACTATTTGAAAGGCTATGCATTAATCATTTTTTGCAATTTTTATTGTGTTGTTTTAAAACATCTTGTAATGAATATGTGACCATTCACAAAAAAAATATTTTATTTGTGGAAACCCATGTGAGGGATAATATGTAATTATTTTTCAAAAGAAGGAAAGTGACCATGTCATCTTTGATCTTTACCTTGTAAGTTGCTCTGAGATCAATCCAAGAATTTAAGAACACAGGTTTTAACAGCTGTTTTCTTTTACACTCATACTCCAGGCAAACACCTAAGTCCCAGTCTTCATTAAGTACATTAAAATAGAACAAGATGATATAAATCAGAACAGTAAGATTTAACTGCTCTACTAATAACTAACATTGATATGGCTCATATTACTTTATATTTTTTATAACTGTTAATTACATTGGTGACTAAATTCCAAAATGATTTCTTATACACTGAACAAAACCTTGACTATTTCAGAAAGAAGAGTAAGATGTTAAATTACAAAGGCTGAATTTCCTATATGCTAGGAAAATATTAGTGTAATTGAGAAACCACATTTTATTGCAACTTGAGGCCAAATATGACTATTAATCTATGCTATAAAGAGTATAAACACTCTGTCAATGATTTTACAGTACTGCCAATGCTGCATCATGGTCATACAAAAGACATACTACTTTAAATGGTTCATTTTTTTCTTGATGTCTGTATTTGTAAATATTAAAGTACAAAGGCAAAAGTTGTGAGCTGAACGAAGACTCTTTATTAAAGGCCGCAATAAATAGTCTGATAAGGGTTTTCACTAAATTATCTTTGTCTGAATTTAGAAGAAGAGAGAGGAATATCTAGAAAGATTCTAAAAGTTAAGGTTTAAAAATTTAGCTATTCCAGAACCATAATATATATATTTTTTTGTATTAAATTCTTTTATTGGTACATTGTAGGTATACAACACAATTACATTTCTCATTGGGAATTGTACCTTTATATAAT